AATCCAAGCCGCTGACCTCAAACCCGTCTGGGGGCTTGTTAGCCGGCCGGCTTCCCCCAAGCCGTTCACAGTAAAGGCAGGAGTGGCTGGTAGCAAGGCACGTACCCATGGCGTTGCTGTTCAGCAGGAAGACTCCATGGGCCAAGCCGCCATCCTCCATCACCAGGTAGAACGGGTGAGAGCCATAGAGATTGACGTAAGGCTAACGTACAGCAGAGCGTATAGTGTCAGTGATACTCCGGCAATGCAGCAGCCGGCCCAGCCTCCCGGCCAGCGCAGGGCTGGGCACACAGCTGGGTAGCTTCACATCCCCGATTTTCAGGGCTCACGTGCTGGGCATTCACATCGTGGTGACAAAGTCAGGGCACCAGTGCTGGGAGCGCCCATGGCGCCAGCCACACATCCTGCCTCGGATGCTTGCTGCTCTTCAGTAGCAGGCCGCAATGGGGATTTATAGAAAGCCGAGCGAGCGCTCTGTGCGGACGCGGCTCGTTCCCCTACAGCCCCAAACCCTCCCTGCTGGCTATAAAACACGCTCTTAGCCCTGGCAGCAGGGTGAGACTCAGCGAGCGTGTGACACGCGGGACAGTCCCCAGGCTCCCTATTGCACACAGCTGGGTTGCTGGTAGGTGGCACAGAGAAGTGAGCTTGCCCAGGGAGAGATCTCCCGAGGGACTGGAACCAGGGGCCCCCAACCGGCTGTGAGAAGCATTAGGCTGATGGGCCCAAGCTCACCTGCATTTGCAGGAGAAGAGACACTCCTGAGTGTCCGAGAGCTGAATCCAGGGACCCTAAACCCTAACTGTGGGAACAAGAGCACCAGCATCCCACTGCCAGGCTGGGCGCCAAGCCCTATCCCACAGAGCTCAGGCTTGAGAGAAACTTCAAAAAATGTAACGTTCATTTGAGAGTAAGAGACCTGGAAGTGGGGTCGAGAGAAACACATGGCGCTGACAGCCCACATTAACATTGCAGGGACACTCACAAGGGGCCTCCGGCCTTCCTGCCAGGCCCTGCATGCGAAGCTGAGTCATTACTAAGCAGGACTTACCGTGGGCGCCATGTCCCGATTCCAAAGGGTGACTTTGGTCCAATTGACGTTGAGGGCGAGTGAGGTCAGGTGCTCCCCCAAGCCAGAGATGAAATGGGAAGGCAGGGAGGTGGAGATCTGGAGGAACTGGTCAGCAAAGAAAAGGGGAGCAACTGTGGTGTTCAACCTGCCAAAGAGAAAGGGAGACTCCCTGAAGGCAGACGGCAAATCCCACAGGGAGCTGACCTAGGGAGGCTTGCTTAGAAGCAGCTCTTCCACCCAGACAGACCTTCAAGCCGCCACATGCTAGACACCAGGCAGAGGAAGGAGCCTCTAAGCCAGGGAAACAGCAGCTACTCGGGAAAGGAGAAAACTGAAGCTTCCAGCTGGAATCGGGTGTGATCACAGGAAGTGCAGTCATTTCCCCAGCTGTGAATTGGACAGGGGGAGAGCAAAGGAGTGGGGAGCCAGGGCCCCAAACCCCAGCTGAGGCCTAGAACCACTGCCTCATCCCGGGCAAGGCATTAAGTCACCTGGTGCCTTGGTCAACACAAGCGATGGATTCAGGTACGATGAAAACAGGAAACTCACTGACAGCAAGATGCTGCCTCTGCTTCCATCACTTCATACTGGCACCTGGTCCACAAAACCCAGAGAGCTGCCCTGTGGGCCAGTTCCTGATGCCAGTGGAACCGCTTCTTCCCAGGGCAGCTGTGGCATAAGAGGCAGGTACGGCTGCAGCTGCCTTTCTGTCTCTTGCGGGAGAGTAAGTCAGGTGAGGTAGCGACAACACAAAGCCAAGGACCAGGTATCCCGGGGGTGCAACGAGAAGGTTACTCTGATTATAGCTGGGCAGTAAGGACACTTCCCACTTGTAGCTCCATCCCCACCTTTGGGGGTGGCTGGGCTCAGGCTCCGGAAGGGGGTGAGTCAGAGGGGAATATTTTGTTACAGGAGGGTGGAAGCACTTACAGAACCTGCCCGCTGGATTCCCTGAATACCATCAGGCCAAAGGGGTCAGCTGAGAACTGCACGCGGTACAGTTTAGAGGCGATTTGGCCTCTCGCTTTTGGGGTTTCAAGTGGCACTTCATAGCGTTTGTTTGCTGGATCCCTGAGCTGTAAGAAAGGGAGAGACCGAGAGAGCTTCACAGACTGGAGCAAGTGACAATTCATTATAATAAACTATGGGATTGACCCAATGGCTTGTAGGCGACCAGTCACCCCGAAGGGCAGAAAACCCAGCTCCGAGAACTGCTCAGCAAGGGAAGTAATGCTTACGGACTCTGGGCAGAAACTCACTGTTCTGCGCACACCCCTCACCCAGCACCACAGCTAGTGTCTCTTGCAGCCTGAGCCCCATTGTGGCTGGCTAAAGCACCTACTGACCGTGAAGTGGAGCCTGCCCTCCGTCTCAAACACCACATCCAGCCGCAGAACCATTATGTCTTCTGGGAAGAAGGTGGGCACAGTGCGGGTCAGGCGGGCAGTGTAACCTGTCTGGGTGGCACTCAGGTTCTCCACCTTGTAACTGGGGTAGCTGGTTGGGAAGAAACACCAGGGCTGCCAAATCGCAGGGCCCCTAGAGGAAACCGGGACGTAGCAGCAGCCACGAGCCTCACACTCTGCTCTGGAGAGAAGCTTCTCAGGTGCACAGTCAAACCGGCTGTCTGGAGAGCGGTCACAGCGCAAGGGCCCTGACGCAGCAGCACCTGGGCTCTCCAGGTGCCCTGCCCACCTCCGATACCACGTCCGCCCTTCTCCATTAGCGCTACCGGATCGGTGGGTTGTCTCTGGCCCCGGGGGGTCTCCGAGGCTCGCGGCAGCCACAATGACTTCATGGACATTGAAGATGGTGTGTAGGGCAACTGTTGCGAGCAGAGCAGCAATACTGATGACAGACACCTGCAGCACGGTGCAGGAAGCCTTCTGGCAGCCGGGGAAATTCTCTGCCTGCTTCAGTCTCATTGGGGGCATTGCGGGGCTGGTGAGCAAGTGCCCCTCCAGCACAGGAAAGCCTGTCCAGGCAGCCAGCTAGATGGGGACAGGGAGAAGCCCGCGGTCAGATTTTACACATGAATGTCTAGTGGGAACCTCCGAGTGAACAACAAGGAGTCTGCCGGCACCTTAAAGACTAACAGATTTATTTGGGCATAAGCTTTCGTGGGTAAAAACCTCACTTCTTCAGATGCATAGAGTGAAAGTTACAGATGAACAGAACAATCAAGCCCCACCACATCTTCACGCAGCGTACAGTCAACTTGTGGAACTCCTTGCCTGAGGAGGTTGTGAAGGCTAGGACTATAACAGGGTTTAAAAGAGAACTAGATAAATTCATGGAGGTTAAGTCCATTAATGGCTATTAGCCAGGACGGGTAAGGAATGGTGTCCCTAGCCTCTGTCTGTCAGAGGATGGAGATGGATGGCAGGACAGAGATCACTTGATCGTTACCTGTTAGGTTCACTCCCTCTGGGACACCTGGCATTGGCCACTGTCGGCAGACAGGATACTGGGCTAGATGGATCTTTGGTCTGACCCGGTACGGCCGTTCTTATGCTCTTATGATGCCAAGGGCCCCCGCACCAGGGGTCTCTGCCCCAAGTGCACCGGGAGGCAAAACGGCCCCGTGCCGGCAGGCGAGGGAAGACCAATGGAGGCGCTCCCCACCCCACCCCTGAGCCCCCCCATCTCTGGCAGTGGGGGGGGGGATGTCCCCGCTCCCCTGCCCCGAGCCCGGCTGGCCGGGGGGGGGACCCCGCTTCCCACAGCCCCGTACCTGGGTCCGCCCCCACCGCTCCCAGCTGCAGGACGGGGTCGGGGCCAGAGCGCCCCTGCGGTCACGTGAGCAGCCAGTCAGCTGGTCCCCGGCCACGAGTCACGTGACGAGGTGGCCCCGGCGCGCCAATGGGACGCGCTGTCTCCGCCCCGCCGGCCCGGGCGGTCTCACGGCGGGGGGCGGGGCCTTGCCCCCGCCGCCCGGCTCGCGCTGATGACACGCAAGTCACATACCCCCGTGACCTCGCTGCCCCGGGTGGCCGTTCCCACGCGCGGCGCTCAAGAGCACGTTATCAAAGGCGGCGGGCCGCATCATCCACAGGGTGCAAGTGGGGAAACTGAGGCCCAGAGCGGTAGTGATTTCTGCACAGCCAAGCAGCAAGTCACTAAAACAAACACAACACCGTGCCAAGGAGATGCCAAGCAACCCACTGCAATGAAATGAAAGGGAAATCTGAAATGGCTGAAGATGCAGGGTTCATTGCCACTCTTTCCTAGACAGGATTATGAAAGAAGCAGCGGTTAAACACAAGTCCAGTCTGCTTAGAAAAATGTGCATTTCCCCTCTGCTGTCCCTCTGCTTATTCTGATCGGCAGAGGCCATACCTCACTGTTTCACCCTGTCATAAACTCCCTAATTTAGGGGCACTACCACTAAGCAAAGCCATGTGGATTTGGTTTTGCAACTGGAGCTCTTAAGTGACGTGCTCACACTGCTGGGAAAGACTGTTGGCAATTCACTAAAGAACAGTATTCTGTATAGAAGGGAAGTATGGACAAGATTAGAGGATTTTCCACTTCATTCAGGAATGTCTTTCTAGGCCCTGTCTGCACGCATCTTCCCTTTCCAGAAGCATTCATATTCCATCTTCAACTTTGATGCAGCTCAAACCTGGTGAGCTGCCCAGATTTGGCAGAAAGTGCTCTAGGACCAGTCTGTCTCTCTGTCCATGGAGAATACTGTGCGACTTAACCCCCTAAAGCTGGACTTGCACCTCTTTCCCATGTTCGAACACAATGCACAATTATATCAGTGGTTGGAGCTAAACCAGCCTGTTGTCTTGGAGCAGACAGAAAAGCCAGAGACTGGAGCAGGGCACACGTGGCTGGAACCCAAGATCTCAGAAGCAGATTCCAACTGCTATTCATTTTTCTGTTACTCCGCCTCCAACATCCAGGAGAGTGACAAGAGCAGTAAAAGCTTATACTGTATTTATTTGTGAAAATATTTGTCAAAAGATACTGTATTAGATCTGGCTCTGTGCTTCTGCCTATTCTGCTTCCTGTGACCCAAGCCTGGAGTCCAGGGCTTGGCTGAGGCAGCACAGCACCCTCTGGTACTGAGGGTACTCCTGCTGAATCTGATGGATGATGACATTAACGGTGTGCAGCCGGTCCTGCTGTTTCCGCTGCTCCTTCTGCAGGGCTTGCTGGGTGCGGCAGAGTGGGGTGTACTTCCCGTCCTTCACTGCCTGCAGGTGCTTCTGACGAGTCTGATAGGCCACAATTTCTGAAAGGTTCTTAGAAGAGTAACAATGAAAACTGCATTAAGGACACCTGACTGAATAAAAGGGAGCTAGGAGAGTAAGGAGGACTTAATCAAATGGGGGAGGAAAAGTGACTATCACATCTTGAAATGGGGGATTATTAAGAGGGACAGCTCTGTGAAGTCCTGTTGTAACTACTCATGTGGGCATCCCCCATGTTGAGTGTTATATATAAATGATCACAACATAGCTTAGTGAACCTCCAAATCAGACACATGCATAGAAGGGAAATCTTGCAAAGACAGAGCAATTCTGTGAATTTTAAAAGACAAGGGAGGTCAGTCGGGTCACACCACCCCCAGAGAAAGTTCTGTCTCCCACACAGATGAGCTTTGCTCTTATTGTTGAGACTTCCAGTTCTAGAGCGGAACATGAACATGGTGGTGCTCAAATATCCAGCCTGAGCTGGGTACATGTGGTTTGGGATGAGGTAGAAAGGCCGTGTGGGCTGGCAGCACAGGAAAATAACACATGCAATGCCTGTGTATTAAAGACACCTTACCCAACGTTTTTTGTCCTGAAGCCGCTCTATGTCTGCATCAAGGACATCAGTCTCAGCCTGCAAACTGGAGATCTGCTGCTGCTTTTCCAGAAGGCTGATGCTGAGAGATTTCTGGGTGTTCTCCAGCTCTGTGATGCTTCTGTTGCAGTCTTGAGCATTCTAATGAAAGGAAGGGAAGGAAACTTGAGATTCTGCCTCTGCAATGCCAACTGCATTGCCAAATGATCACCTGAGAACTTCTCCCTTTCTTGGACATTTCAAGGCTGTACGTCCTTTAGTAAGTATACTTTGTGGCCTGAAGGCTCAGACACTCACACAGCCAGATGCCCATTAGGCACACTGGGCATTCTAATGTTGTGCCAGGAAAGGTGACAGTCCCCTGGTGTTTCGCTGCATTACCATGCAGTGAGTGTGTCTCCATGCCTGGGGGCACATTACTGCACTTTTCTTTACGCTACCATGAAGAGAGGCAGATGGCACAGAATATGCACCAAGCACTTTCCTTCCAAGCACTTTGTATCCCAACCCCAAGCGATTAAAGAAAATAGGATAACTGGGGAATGAGGAGCAGTGTTGAGGTGTTTGAATAAAAGTCCCATCAAGTTCTTCTAAGACAGAAGGTTAGTGGGTCTGGCACGTGATCCCCCTTCAGGCAATAGCAAAAAGCAGATGATCTTCAGAGCTACATGAGGAATACCATAGAATCCTGGAGACCAACATGAGTTTCACCGTGGCCTATCCCTAGTGTCCTCTTCCCCACTGACATATGTCCACAGCACTTGCCTTGCCATCTGGGAGAAAGGTTGGCTCAGTGAACCTTGCATGACATCCTCCTTGCATAGTCTGATAGTAGGTCATAAAGCAAAGTTGATGTCAAGCAGTATCTGACATGTTTCGAATTACAAAGCGAGTGCAGAAAAAATCAGTTCTTATGGCCCCTCTCTACCTGCTCACCTTTTGGGTTTCCTTGATCTTCTTCCGCAGCTCCTGTGTCTTGTGGTGGAAGTCGCTCTTGGTGAAATGTTTCTTATCCATTTTGCTCTGGCCCTCCCCCCGAATCATGATGGTCTCTCTGCGGGAGACAGCGGCCTCCATGTCTTGAATCATCTTCTCCTGCTGCTTTGTCAGCTGGCTGTAGCGGACCTGCCATGTGTGAGGAGAGAGAAACTCTGAAGATCCCCAGTGGTCACAAATTACATCTGATAGAAGACTTTCAGTGTGACAAATTCCAACTACCAAGACAGGACACATTTGACACACTGGCCTTGACAGCCCAAATCTTTCAACAAAATCCTGCGCCAGGTTTGTACAGCATGGATCTGGGGGGCATCAGACTAATAACTGACTCCCTATCCGCTTGCCCAACACAATCTTCTGAAGATTTCAATGCAATAAATTCATCTAAATGCAATAATAAGGGAAGGAGGGTAGAAGTATCCTGTGGGTGGGAGAGGAGGTTGCTTTGGCAGAGAGAGAAACACTTCTCTGAATCGGTGCATTGGTGGATGTAGTATTCCGTAAGTGCTGCTGGGCCACCATGTAGTAAGATAAACACTATCCTGTAACCCTTCCCGGTCAGGTCTACCTTTTGCTGAGCTCCCCCATTGCTAGGCTAACGCAAGGAACATGTGAAGAGGTGTAACAGCATGCTGAGCTAGTTCAATTGCTGGACAGGTCACGGGAAGACACCGAGCCCTGACACTTCCAGGAACCTTGGAGATAATACTTCCCCAAGTTATCTCCTATCTACTGTCTGATGTTTCAGCATCTCCTGCAAAGCTGGTTAATCTCCTTGTGAATCTCCGCTTCCCCCTCCCACCTTGGCTCACCTGCATCCTATGGATCTCTGTCCTCATGGCTCGGATCTCGCCTTGCCCTGCCTCTGAGTCCACTGCAGCACGCATCTCCTTGGCCAGCTGGATCTTCTTCTCCCATAGCATGATCTGATGCCTTCAAGGACAGAATGGGAGGGGATGCCTTTGTATGAAAAAGAAGGGGTCACCCTGCCGCTTGATTCCCTTGTATATGTGATGTCACACTATGGACCCCCATTCTGAGTCCAAAGCTCAACAGTCCAGCAGGAAACTAAGAGTTCACTGTATGGAACATGACCCATTGGTGCCCTCAATGTGAGAGTCCATCAGGATTCTGCAGGTCAGAAGTGCCATGAGAATGGTAGAAGTCGGGGTTGGGATTGCAGCATAGAGGATTAATGCCAACATTTGTTAATTCAGCAGCTTTGAAAAATCAGGCCCTTTATTTAGGGGCCTACTGTGAAGTCCCAAGTTTGAGAATTTTGGATTATGTAGCTACCTTCCTCTGGACAGCCATTGGGCTTACATCACACCACTCCCTACTGAGTTTTCCCCTCTCCCCCACACACTCAACACTGGCAGCGTTCTGCTGACTAGAGGCCAAGCACTGAGTGAGAGTGGAGACCACATTACTTCTCATTCATCGACGGGAACAGGCTGCTGTGCAGCAGTATGGGGAAGACTGAACAGCAGTTACTGTGACTGTACCTGGCCTGCAGAAAATAAATGATAGACCCTTAACCTTCTGGGTTACAAAAAGTTATAGGACTCGTCCCACCTTCCCATCCAAGGTAAAGGGAGCATGTCAATCTGACAGGACGCATTTTCCCCTACAGCATTAGGGCAGGAAGGATAATGCAGTTGCATGACAAGGGAGTTCAAACAGTGGCATAAAACAAGGTGTCTGGGTCTCACTCTGCTTCCACCAGGCTGTTTAGGAGTCTCTCTTTCTCCTCCTGCAGTCGGTCCAGCTTCTCCTGCATCTCAATCGACTCTCTCTCGGCTGCCTAGAGTTGGGAAGCAGAAATCAACATCACTGTGTCAGACTGAGAGGCGCTGGCAGGCTCACTGCTTGCCTCTGATCTTCCTGCCTCTTTTGGCTGACAACCCTCCCCACAACACAGGTAGAATTTCAAACCCTCCTGGGCTATGTAAAAGGAATCATTGTCTCTGCACAGGAACCTAACTGAGACAGCCTTTCTGTGCACAGCTGTACATTTCCATCTGGTTACATGGTCTGTGCCATAGGGGCAGCAGTTAGCAATCTCTGACTGTCTCCTGCAACACCGTGCCAGTGGGAGCTCAGCAAGATTGCTGTGTGTCAGGCTGTGTCTAGGAGACAAGGAGCAACGCCTTCCCTACCTTGAGCGAGCGGACAAACTCATTCTCCATGATGGTGTTGCCATGCTGCAGCTCCTCTGAGTTGTGGCTGTTCTTGTTGATTAACATGTTGAGTTTCATCAAGTCATTGGCCATGTTCCTCATGTGGCGTTCAATGTCTTTCTGCTCGTTCTTCTCCTGCTGGATTTCATCTTTCCAGGAAAGAGATGGAAAAGATTTTAAAAAGTGAAAGCAGAGAGTTCTCACCAGGGCACTGGGGGGTGGGGGAGTTCTGACAGTGTAAACAAAGCTGCACTTGTAGCTACCCACTCTGAAAGTCTCCATGGTCTCTGACAAAGCCACAAGCCTTTCCATAAAGCCAAAGCCAAATCCATGTTTTGAAAATGGTTATGATGAAAGGAGGACTGAGATGCTAGAACTGCTATAATCTCAGGGTTGGGCACGTACCAGCCATCTGTTAGACAAAAGGTAACAAACATGCTGAAGGTCTAACTGATCACCATATGTGGAGTCAGGAAGGAATTTCCCCCCAGGTCAGATTGGCAGGGACCTTGCAGGTTTTTCGACTTCCTCTGCAGTGTTTGGATGTGGGTCACTTGCTAGGATTATCTAGCTATATCTTGTGACACCCTGACTCCCCAGTATTCACCACTGTCATGTAATCAGGATATGTTTCGTACAAATTATGTCTTGTGAGGTATCATTCTAAAAGTCTTCATCTGCTAGATAGTAACATCTCGTTGGATTGTATGTGCTATTGTCGTGTGTGAAGTTGTGAAGTGTGGCTATGTATGTGTTACTGAAACATATTGCGAGGTTGAGCACCCCCAAGCAGCCTTTCAGGTACAACAGTGAAAAGGCCAAACAACGTTACTGGCTCATTGAGGAAATGCACAAGCACAAGGATTACCCCAGGAACTGTGTGCGACACAAACCTCTCAGAGATAGCTCTACACAAGGGGAACTGTTTGACCCAGATCACAGCAAAGGAGCTTTCCAGCAAGTGGGAAGAAGATATAAAAGGGGGACAATGACATCATGAGGGGACCTCACTCTCCCTGCAACACCACACCTGGAAACACCTGAGGGGCCAGGACTCAACTGTGGGAAATGATGGTCCCAGGCTAGAAGGATCTTAGAATCATAGAATCATAGAATC